AGTTGGTACTCTTCACCACCACATTGATGCCTAAAAATGATCAAGGACTGTAAAAAATTACGAGTCTAATTCATTACATAATGTAACAGGTTATGAAACTACGTGCATGCTATTTTCAGATGCAATCATATATTTCTTTAATGCTTTACCCTTAGCTCTGAAGTTTATTATAGTTGGGATTATTGAGGGATGATTGCTGGATGTCCATGTCATAGTCAACTCCTCCTCTTCAGCAATTAAGGTTTGACCCTGGTACCGAGTATTGAGAATATTTGCAAGAAAATGAACTAGAGATAGGGCATGTCTCATTTGTTTCTTTAATGCTTGCAATTTAAAAGAGAATTATGCAATGAGAAAGTTAAAGATCTCACTCAGTTCCTTCCAAACTTCAACTGCTGTTTTATTGCTGATGCTATTTCCCTGCATTTTGTTCAAGGCTACAGAAATGGATTTCAGGATACTCAGCATATGTTCAACATTTGTCTTAAGCCCAATGTTGAGAACTTTGGCTGTGACACTGCCATCTATTTTTTCATGATTTTGTTCACAAAGTGTCATCAGATTAGGCCATTTCTTGATATAGGGCTCAAAATAGTCCACTGCTGAATTCCATTGCATGTCTTGTGGGAGAGTTAGCTTGGTTCTTCTAACTTTTTTCAGAGCAGCTGCTGCAAAGTGGTTGTGACAGAAGTATTTTGTAATTTCAGCAACATTAACCTTTATGTCTGGAACACTAAAGTCTTTGCCTAGGAGCTCTATCAAATGAGCACTGCAACCATATAATGGTAGCTTGGGACTCTCTTCACTCTCTCCTAAATTTCTTCTAATCTTGGATACATTCACAACATAGCTTGTGACCAAGCTGCATACTAGACATTTGGATTTTTTTCCCCTCAGTTATAGTTTTTATTGCTACCTCTTCAGAGAATCATAGAACCAGCAGGGAGCTTAAGAGGTCATCAAGTCCATTCCCTTGCCTTCACGGCAGGACCAAGCACAGTCTAGACAGATACCAGTCAGGGATGATCTAATCTACAACCTCCCTGGCTAATTTATTCCAGTGTTTAACCATCCTGACAGGAAGTATTTCCTAATTTCCAACTTAAACCTCCCTTGCTGCAATTTAAGCTCATTGCTTCGTCCTAACCTCAGAGGCCAAGGAGAACAATTTTTCTCTCTTCTCCCTTGTGACACCTTTTTAGATACTTGAAAACCACTATCATGTCCCCTTCTTTTTTCTAAACTAAACAAGACCAGTTCTTTCATTCTTCCCTCATAGGTCATGTTTTCTAGACTTTTAATCATTTTTGATCTTCTCTCGACCTTCTCCAATTTCTCCCTATCTTTCTTGAAATGTGGTGCCCAGAACTGGACATGATACTCCAGATGAGGCTTAATCAGCACAGAGTAGAATGGAAGAATGACTTCTCATGTCTTACAACACTCCTGCTAATGCATCCCAGAATTATGTCTGGTGTGTGTGTGTGTGGTTTTTTTTTTTGTTGCAACAGTGTCACATTGTTGCCTCATGTTTAACTTGTCCACTATGACCCCTAAATCCCTTTCAGCAGTATTCCTTCCAAAACTGTCACTTCCCATTCTGTATGGCTACGTCTACACTGGCGCGTTCTCACGCAAAAACTCTTCCAGAAGAGAGCGTCTACACTGGCATGTGCTTTTGCACAAGAGCATCTATGCCAGTGTAAATGCTCTCTTGCGCAAGAAAGCTCTGATGGCCATTTCAACCATAGTGCTTTCTTGCGCAAGAAATTCATGTTGCCTGTCTACACTGGCCTCTTGTGCAAGAACAGTTGTGCAAGAGGGCTTATTCCTGAGCGAGAGCATTAGAGTTCTTGCGCAAGAAGCACTGATTTCATACATTAGAACGTCAGTGTACTTGCGCAAGAACTTGTGGCCAGTGTAGACAGGCAGCAAGTTTTTGCACAAGATTGGAATAAGATCCTCCGGAAAAGGGCGCTTTTTCCGGAGGATCGGGGCCAGTGTAGACGCTCTTTTCCGGCTTTTCTAAAAGCCGGAAAAAAGCGGCGGACATTTTTATTTAAATGCCGCGGGGGATATTTAAATCCCCCGCGGATTTCCCTATTGCGATTTCAAAAATTACCATGCCCCTTCCGGAAAAGGGGCCAATGTAGACGTAGCCCCTATGTGTGAGACTGATTGTTCCTTCCTAAGTGGAAGTACTTTACCTTTATCTTTATTAAACTTCATCCTGTTTACTTCAGACCATTTCTCTAGTTTGTCCAGATCATTTTGACCCTATCCTCCTCCTTGTATGTATTGTGCTGGGTGTGCATTTCCTAACTTACCAATTGTTTCTATAAGGAAGATACTCCCTCCTGTTGTATGTATCTGTGTGAAAACAGAAATGGATCATTGTGGACATTGCTCTGCCTATCAACTCAGGTTAACAATTTTATCCCCCAGACTGTTTGCACATTGCTCGATTTCTCTTTCATCCAGTAATTTGCCTGTGCCATCTACTCTGTTGGGTAGACTGTAACCTGGCCTTGATGACTGAACCATGTTAATGAAGTGTAGGTTCTCAATCATACAGAAAGGAGAGTTTCTTGCATAAACAAACCAGAAATTTACTACTACTATTTGTAATGTGCTGGTTCTTATCACAAACTTATTTATGCATCTGATGAAATGGATCTTTGCCCACGAAAGCTTATGCTCCAATAAATCTGTTAGTCGATAAGGTGCCACAGGACTTCTTGTTCTTGCAGATTCAGACTAACATGGCTACCCCCTCTGATACTTATTTATGGTTGCTTCTGGATGACGGAGATATTTTTTCTTTTTGCTATGGGCGTTATACTGCAGTCATATGACATACATGATGTGAGTGAATTCCTAACATTGGCAGATAATGCTGAAACTATAGAAAATGAAGGTGAATAGTCTTCAGAGGCCTGTATGTTGAGGATGGAGTCTCCTAAACATAATAAGCTAATGCAATTATATAACTATTATTGAAGCAAAATACAAGATTATGTAGCACTTTAAAGACTAACAAGATGGTTTATTAGATGATGAGCTTTAAAGTGCTACATAGTCCTGTATTTTGCTTCAGCTACACCAGACTAACACGGCTACATTTCTATTACTATAACTATTATTGTTACCATACTGCTCACTCAGTTTTACTCATTACATTTACTGACACTCAGTACTACTATAAAGATGAAGTTGTAAAAGGAAGATCTGCCTATTTCAGCTACTTCATTTTTGAAGCAGTTGTGATAAAATATAGTACCATAGAGTAATAACTGTATTATTTTTCTCAAACACGAGAATTCAAGAATAGTCCAAAAGGAAGATGGGCAATCCTTAAGAAGTATGAAATAAAGTTTACCAACCTGAAGATGCTGCATGTTCCGATATGTTCCTTTCATCGTCTTTAGTGCAGCTTTCTCCAGAGAAGAAACACATCTCATGATGTTGTTTCATTTGGGTAACCAGGCCTTGCATTTCTTTGTTGCACTGTTCATATTTTGCACGCATGCCTATCTTACAGGTAGAGGAACTTCACTAAAATATTTCCAAGTTGGGTCTCTCTCATAGCTTGCTACCATTAGTTTTTCTCTTCTAATGAGAGAATGGTATGGTAGATATCACATGGATGAAGGCTACACTCAGAAAGACCAAGACTTCTGGAAGATGCTGCTCAAACAGTTTCACTTTTGTTTTGACTGCCTATCCCTCCCATCTTACATGTTGGCTACGTCTAGACTACAGGCTTCTTTCGGAAGAAATGTTTTCGAAAGAGCTCTTCCAAAAAAAGTTTCTTCCAAAACAGAGCGTCCATACTGCAAAAATGCATTGAAAAAGCTATCTGCTTTTTTGAAAGAGAGCATCCAGATTGAATGGACGCTCTGTCACATGTAAGCTGTGATTGCTATGGACGGAATGGCCACCAGGGCACCTGTGCTTTTTCCTCTTCTCTTCTTCCAAAAGAAGTCCCTCTTCCCCATCCACACACCAGCTACATCTAGACTGGCATGATTTTCCGCAAATGCTTTTAATGGAAAAGTTTTCCGTTAAAAGCATTTGCGGAAAAGAGCGTCTAGATTGGCACGGATGCTTTTCCGCAAAGCCATTTTCGCGATCGGGGCTTTTTTGCGCAAAACATATCTGAGCTGTCTACACTGGCTCTTTTGCGCAAAAGCTTTGCGCAAAAGGTCCTTTGCCCGAACGGGAGCAGCATAGTATTTCTGTAAGAAGCACTGATTTCAGACAGTGGGAAGTCAGTGTTCTTGCAGAAATTCAAGCGGCCAGTGTAGACAGCTGGCAAGTTTTCTTGCCAGTCTAGCCACAGCCACCTTGTTTTGATTTATGTTAAGCTAGCAGATAGAATCTGGCTTGCCCTTCTATAGCTTTAAGTTATTCCTACTTAACAGTAATATCACGACTGATAACTAAGTAGAAATTGCAGAGCTACATTATTCTCTTTAAATACTCTTGATTTGCATAGGTGTTGCTGAGGGCATAATTTGGAAACAGTGGGGTTACGCATGTGTAACATCAGAATGTGCTGTAGAAACTTCATTATTGATTATACAGGGGGCAGAAAGAAATAGCTTAATTGTCAGGTGTGTGTGGGCTGGGGATGGAGGATACCAGATTATATAGCAAAATTTAAAAGTGTTTTTACTTGCAAATTGAGCAAATTTGCTCTAAAAACAATTGAAACTAAAAATGCTATCCTTGTATTCCATGTTACTTGTTGGAATAGAACCACATTCCAATGCATGAGTTAGTTCAATTTTAAATGACCAATTTTTTTCATCTATAAATCTGGACCGACTTAATTTGATTTTCAAAATATATAGAAGGTTAAAAAATAAAATGAAATAGTTTCAAAGTTGTATTATTTATATATTTGGTGAACACAGCAAAGTTCATTGTTCATTATTATTCTATAGTGTAGCACATTTCATCTGTGTATTTTTTCCCTCTCCCAAATCAACAAACAGTGGAGATTTCAGATTCTGTTCCATCAACTCCATTAGCAAAAGAGGTCGCCAAGAGATTCTCTACTCCTGATACAAACCCTGTGTCAACAGAACCAGCCTGGTTGGCCCTAGCCAAGAGGAAAGCAAAAGCCTGGAGTGACTGTCCACAAATCATTAAGTAAAAGTAACCTATTTTCTCTCTACTTTTGTTTGTTTTCTCCTTTTCATCAATTCAAGATTTTTACACATGACAAAAGAAACTGAACAAGATTTAAATGCATTCCCTGAAGGACTGAAAAACAAAGTGGTTATCATTTTGCTTTAGCACATTATAGTTGTGTATGCTCATATCATAGATTTGGAAAACTATAAGAGAGAGGGGGATCCAGGCGTACAGTTGAGAGCCAATTTCTCAAAAATCAGGGATGCTTTTTGAGTTTTTGGTTTTGCCCAGTATAAAAAGAAAGAGAGGGCCAGAACTTCAAGCTCTTTAAAACTGTGCGCGCTTTTGAGTGTAAAGTTTTCAATTTCAGTGTAGACAAAGAAAAATTCTGGATATTTTGCTATGTACAGGTTGAACCTATCTAATCTAGAACTCTCTCGTCTAGAAACATCTGTTGTCTGGTATGATTTTAGTTAGCCAGACGTCTACTTTTCATGGGTGCAGCCAAGTTTCTCCATGGTCCTATAAAGTTTGTTTACAGCCACCAATCCTAGCTCTCAAGTGTTGTGTGCTGTTGTTTAGCTCTAATTTACTCCTAAATATCCTTTAGCAGTACAAGCGTTGGTAATGCTGCTAGACAACATTGATGTCCCATAGTCCAGAAAAGTATCTTGTTTGGAACCAGTCAGTTCCCAAAGGTGCTGGATTAGAGAGGTTCAACCTGTAAAATAAATGTTCCTTCTTAATCCCAATGGTTCCTTTTGAACTCCGTTTGACATAGTTAATTTGCAATTTAAAAACCCCCTCCCCACTCCAAGACATATTTTGGAAGACTTCTTCCCACCTGTGAATGAAGTGACAACATGTAATGGTACCATCCAAATACTGAGACACTGTTTTCTTTCATGCTAGGGGACAACACAATTGCTGTACCTCTCACCTCAGAGTAAAATCATTTGCACATTTTTCTCATTAACATATTTATATCAACCAAACAAAAAGTGTTTTCCCCATTTACTAAGAGGCAAAGTCAAAAGTTATTAGGCACCAATGTGCTCAGAGCACTTGAAATTTAAGACCCTATTCCTACAAATGTCTGAGTCGCTTTTATGTACCTACAGGTTTCAGAACTGGCCATGTTAGTCTGTTTCAGCAAAAACAACATGGAGTCTTGTGGTACTTCAATGACTAACAAGAAAAAGAAACAAACTGTAGGGATACACAGTCAAAATTGCATACTCCATGGCTGGGTCTAGACTGGCAAGTTTTTCCGCAAAAGCACGTGCTTTTGCGCAAAAACTTGCCAGCTGTTTGCACTGGCCGATTGAATTTCTGCAAGAACACTGACGATCTCATGTAAGAAATCAGTGCTTCTTGCAGAAATACCATGCTGCTCCCGTTCAGGCAAAAGGGCCAGTGTAGACAGCTCAGATTTGTTTTGCGCAAAAAAGCCCCAATCGTGAAAATGGTTATCGGGGCTTTTTTGTGCAAAAGCGCGTCTAGATTGGCATGGACGCTTTTCCGCAAAAAGTGCTTTTGCGGAAAAGCATCCGTGCCAATCTAGACGCTCTTTTCCGCAAATGCTTTTAACGGAAAACTTTTCCGTTAAAAGCATTTGCGGAAAATCATGCCAGTCTAGATGTAGCCCATCTCTGTATCCCTATTATCTATTTCTTTTTCTTTCACTTCATGCATCTAATGAAGTGAGTTGCAACTCACAAAAAAGTTTAAAACAACAGTTATATTATCGTGTAAGATACCTTCAGACTCCTCCTTGTTTTTACATGCATTAGAAGTCTCCTTGAGTTCAAAAGAGATTGTTTCAAGTTATTCACCTGTAAATATTTGCAGGATTAGGATCTAAATGCTTAAAATCAGAAAATCAAAACACTGGGATCCTCGGGACAAGGTGGTAAACTTATTTAAAATCCAGTTTATCACTAAAGGCAAGTTTTTTACTTCTAATTTTTGCTCAATTTGTTCCCTGAGCAACTTTAGTCAAATTGCTTACTTTCCTTGTACTAGATAACCCAGCTGTGAAATTGAGTAAAACACTCACTCACTCAGGGGTGTTGCAGCTTTACTACATGAACAACAGCTTCTTTTTTTTTTAAAGTAGAAATGTCCTTTACCCTTTTTCGCCCTTAAGTAGTCTTCAAAATGTAATAAAAAATGTTAACGTCCTTAAGTTTTCTACCCAGGAAATTATGCTTTTTTTAAAATGGCTTTTTACACATAGTTATACATCAATCTTCCTAAGAAAATTCCTGTTTTCTAAGAACTTTGCATATTGCTGTAAATCCCCCTCTGTTTAAACATGTATGTTTACTTTTGACACATAAGCCAAGTCTGTATCATTTTAAGAGGAGGCATTTCAATAAAAAAGGAGAAATAGCATTACTACAGCATAGTATAATTTCATGGCATTACTTTTCTCTAGCCAAACTGCTGTACAATCCACAAGATAGCACTTTGTAAATTAAGCAGAAAATAATGAGCCCTGTACTGTTCTCCTTCTAAGAACTGAAAAAAGCTACTCAGACAGTTATTGAATAGACTG